CCATACAGCTCCTCATTGCAGATGTTACTGCTGCTGACACGTCGCGTCGGTGGGCGGTCCTATGCCCTGCAGTTCAGCACCATTGGCACGAGAGGTAGCAGAGGGGGCAGCAGATGGGAAGTGCCGAAGTTCCGGCGCATCGCGAACAAACTGCTGGTATTCGGCGCTCTCCAACGCCTGCATCTCCATGAGCTTTCTCTTGAAAGGCTGGGGCCACTTACCAGAGTACGCAAAGGGAGCAATTGTGTCCGCGTGCATTGCGTGGAGGAGCTTTCTCTTGAAAGGCTGGGGCCACACACCAGTGAAAGCGAAGGGTGCAATGGTGGCCGCATGCACTGCGCACAGCTCCACAACAGCGCTGTCCACCGAGCCGTCACGACGGTCCTCCTGCCGGCGACCCACGCTGCGCTCGTAGGCAAAATCGTCGGAGTCGGCCGTGCTCCACGAGCGACTGCTGCTAGCGTCGGAAGCGGCCTCCTCGACCAGCGGGCTGTGAGCCTCCAAAATGCATGGCGCATATCCGCTGGACCCCAGTAACCCACCCTCAGCATACTCCGAGTCGGGGGGGGGGACCCCGATCTCGGGTCTCACGAGCAGCGCCTCCAGCAAGCCTGCGGCTGGGCAGTCCTCCCCCTCAGGGGCCCTATCGCCCAGCTCCTCCATCGGCGCGTCGAGCAAAGGCCAGACACCAGGTGGCCGCTGCGGCCAAAAAGGAGGAGCGTCGCGTCGGAGCTCTCCTCGAACAGGCGCATGGTCCACTGCCTTCGAGCGCCTCTGGATGGAGTTGAGCTCTGTCTGGGATGAGCCAGCCAAGATGTCGGCGTTGATGTCGAAGACGTGCGAGGCCATGTTCCGCTTTGCCACCTGCAGCTTGGACGGTGTGCGGCCCTTAAGCGCAGCAGCAAGGACGGGGGCCACGAGCTGGAGGCGCTTGGAGAGCTCGGAGCCGTCTCCAAGCACCGCCCTGAGTTCCTCCAGCTGATCCATCAGCACCGCCTTCTCGCTCGCGAGCTTCCTCACAAGATTGTCTGCTGCTGTCACCGCCCGCGCGCGCCGCAAGCGCCTGCTTGCCGCGCCGCTCTCCATTTTCCGCCACGCACCAGGGCGAGTCCGCTGCATCTTACACCCGGCGATTCGGCGCCCATGAGCTAGCACAATAGACCAAGATGTTGGCGGTGCCTGGCTGCAGCCAAAAATTGCTACGGACCGCCTCCTCTCGCTTCCTCCTCCTCCTCCTCTCCTCCTCCTCCTCCTCCTCCTCCTCATCCTCCTCCTCCTCCTCCTCCTCCTCCTCCTCCTCCTCCTCCTCCTCCTCCTCCTCCTTCTCGCCCCCCGCAGCCAAACCATCTCCTCCTCGCACTTCAGCCAGCGCGCCCCCTCCGCCCCGACCCCGACCACTTTACTCCAGCGCGGCACGGCACGGGTACCGCGCCCCCTCCTTCCCCCCGCCCCACAGCCAGCCCCTCTGATCCTCCTCGCCCCCCGCAGTCAGCCCAGTTCCTTCTCGCCTCCAAGCCAGCGCGGCGCCGTCACCGCGCCGTCCTCCGTCACCTGTCCTCCGTCTCTTCGTCGCCCGATGCTTGCCTCGGGCGTAGCCCCTTCATGATCCTCCCCCGATTTCGCGTGTGTCTCCTTCCCTTGTCCTCCCCGTCCACTCCTCCTCCACGTCCTCGTCCTCCTCCTCCACCGACCTGTGTGCAAGATCCACGGCACGCGTGTCCCTCATATTTTCCTGGCAATCAACGTTGATATGTGTCTGTGTCGACTTGTTCCTCCCGACAAGGGGAGAGAAACAAGATCCTCCGACGCCTCGACGCAACGAGGCGGCCAATGTGCGTCCATCCTCTGGCCCCAGGGGGCCAGATCATGGCCTCGGGGCCGTCCGAAAACGACTCAGTCGAAGGGGATCGAAGAGTAAAGCAACACCAGACTACATTGTCTACATGGACACAAACCTTCGGAGGCCCGCGCGGACTTGTTGGATCTGTGCCAGTCGTTGTTCCCCGAGGGGTCGAAGAAGTGCGTGGAGGGCCACCGCATCGAAAAGATCGGAGCGCCGGACGCATGGGAAGGACGACGAGGACGAGGACGAGGACGAGGACGAGGACGAGAAACTAGGACGCGGACGACGACGACGACAACGACGACGACGAAGATCGGGCATCTGACGTCTGCGCGTCGCGATGAGCGAGGCGCGATCACCCTTGCGCCCTTTCGACGCTCGCGCCCCCCAAAAAGAAGGCTCTGCGGCCGGAGAGGCGACGAGCGCGGGGTAGGGGCGGGAACGGCGCGCGGGAATAGCATCCGGCGCCCGTCTGGCGGAACGAGCTCCTGGGCGCAGGAAGACCGGGCAACGACCTACAGGGAGGAGGAGGAGGAGGAGGAGGAGGGGGAGGAGGGGAGGAGGAGGAGGAGGAGGAGGAGGAGGAGGAGGCAGGGAACGCCAGCCAACGAGGCGGCGGGAAGGGGAGGAAAGGAGGGAGGGCGACGGAGAGAGAGAGAGAGAGAGAGGGAGAACGAGAGAACCAACGACGCTGGGCCGCTTGCCGCCTGGCGCATCGATCGACATACTTCACACCCCTCGGGCCGCTGATGGCGCCGCTGCTTCCGTGATCGCCTCACGTGCGGAGCCAGGTAGGGAGCCCGTTACACCTTGGCGGCCAAGATGTTGCGCTGATGGAGACAGTCCCCGCCGTCCCCCCCCCGATACAGTTATCGGCTACACGCTAGAGTGACCCTAGGCAAGAGTGACCTTTAGTGTTCGGACTAAGGGGGCGCAAGGTGGCCAAATCCAAGCACGCACGCAGCCACTATCGCACAGCGCTCAGCGATCGGGGGGACCCGAGTGAGCCCGCCCTTCAGGTCACTCCGGCGAAGGGTCACTCTTACGTCTGATCGAAGTTGGGGAACCACAAGGTACCGATACCGCAACTCCCCGGACCTCTCCTGGGGCACGTTCTGACCAGCAGCTCGAGGCGAATCCAGCGGTGGCGACGAGGGCCTCCCAGGGGCCCAAAAAGGGGGAAACGAGGCAAGGGCAGCGGTATGGGTACCTTGTCCTGTTTTGAACACTCCCTCCAAAGCCACGCTAACGGCGACGTTGGTTAACAGCGATGTTGGGAATCGCGTTTTAGCAATGCCAAAGTCGCGCAGAACAAAGTGTAGGAAATCGCGAACCACACTCTCCTACGTTCCAAGTGCGCGAATCTGCCGAGCGATAACGGCACGGCGAGTTGTAGGAAAACAGAAGCGACGCTTTCCTACGATTGGGTTGGCCACGAACCACCACCCCCTACAATGCCGAAACCTACATCGCCGTTACCTACATTAGGGAAACGAAACATGGCATAAACATAAACACCCAGAGGTCCGCGCAGATTTCTTGGATCCGCGCTGGACCTCCCCCCCCGGCGCGCGGAGCGCGCCAGAGGCGGCGCCGGAGGCGCCGCCAGGGGGCCCCAGCGCCGATTTGAGAAATCCGCGCGGACCCTCGAGTTATTCTGATTATGTCACTTTTCATTCCCCTAGAAGCCTACATCGCCGCTACCTGCATCGCCGTTGGCGTGTCTACGCCCCTTCCCCCTCGGGGGCGGCCAGAGGGGGGCGTCCAAGAGGGAGGGGCAAAAACCATGGCCGGCGGCACGTGCGCGGCCCAAGGGTGGGCCAGGGAAGCGATGAAAGAAGAAGAGGCGCCCTGAAATCTGAGAAAAGCTCATGGCCCGCGCCAGGATATCCACCCCCCCTAGTCATCGCCCCCCTCTTGGCCGTCCAGGAGGAGGAGAAGGAGGAGGAGGAGGAGGAGGAGGGAGAAGAAGGAGGAGGAGGAGGAGGAGGGAGGAGGAGGAGGAGGAGTCCCCCCCCCCACACCCTCGCCACACG